CATCCCATGCCATGCCATCCCATCCCATCCCATCTCATCTCGTCCCATCCCATCTCATCTCATCCCATTCCATCCCATCCCATCCCATCCCATCCCATGCCATCCCATCTCATGCCATACCATCCCATCTCATCCCATGCCATGCCATCCCATCCCATCCCATCTCATCTCGTCCCATCCCATCTCATCTCATCCCATTCCATCCCATCCCATCCCATCCCATCCCATGCCATCCCATCTCATGCCATACCATCCCATCTCATCCCATGCCATGCCATCCCATCCCATCCCATCTCATCTCGTCCCATCCCATCTCATCTCGTCCCATCCCATCTCATCTCATCCCATTCCATCCCATCCCATCCCATCCCATCCCATCCCATCCCATCTTCTCCCATTCCATCCTGCCATGCCACACCATGCCGTCCCACCCAGCCATCCCACCCTGCCGTGCCGCAGAGCCCCTCCCGCAACCCCACCCGGATCCACGGGGAATTGGGGAAGAGCAGGAGCAGGGAACGTGGTTCAGCTTTTCCTCCGGCACAGCCTGAGCTGAGTCACGGCCGCGCTGCCTTTCCCCGCACAGTGATGTCATTCCCCTCCGTGCAACGGAGGTGGGGAAATAAAATAAGATATATATATCTCTCTCAACCAGCTGACCCAAAATATCCCCCTTTCCCCACTGATCCCTCCGTTTTAAGCCTTGGGAATCAGAATCCTGAAGGATGATTCAGACATACCTTGAGTCACGCCCTCTCTCTCTCCCGTCCGGGGTGACCAGCTGCTAAATTTAAGATTCCTGATGTGATTCCCAGGCTGTGGAAGGTGCCCGCGTCACCCCCGCCCCGGGGAAACTGAGCCGTGGGGCTATGAAACAGCCTCTTCCCGGGGGATATATCCCTGGGGATCTTCTGCACAGCAGCAGGGAATTGTTTAACGGGGATGGATGTTGCGGACAAGGGGGTTTAGAGCTTTGAGGAGGGGAAAAGGGAGAGATAAAAATGTCAAATATCCAGAAAAGGCAGGTGATGGGGAGGGGGAGGGTGGGGACGACACAGCGCTGTGCTGTGGGTCACCCCCAAGGAAGAGCATCTCCCCTGGGACCAGCGTGGGGGCAAAACCACCTTCCTCCTCTTAATCCCCCTTGGATGCTGCTCATTTCCCCCTCGCTCCCCCAGATAAAAAGAAAACCCCGAGGTGCCACCGCCCCCCTCCCCCCGCATCCCTTCCGAAAATTAAAACCGCATCTTCTTGCTTTTCCTCCCCGCTCATCCTGCATCCCTTACCTGGCTGGATGGAGGGATGCAGGGAGGGATGGGCGGGATGCCGGGCTGGGCTCTTTGTGCTGGGAAATCGTCGCAGCGTCTCTTTTGTCTGGTGGCGCGTCCGGGTCTGCAATGCAGCCCCTGGGTCGGCGGGATGAGGAGCGGGATGAGGAGCGGGATGAGGAGCGGGATGAGGAGCGGGATGAGGAGCGGGATGAGGAGCGGGATGAGGAGCGGGATGAGGAGCGGGATGAGGAGCGGGATGAGGAGCGGGATGAGGAGCGGGATGAGGAGCGGGATGAGCAGGAGCGGGATGAGAAGCGGGATGAGGAGCCCCGGGATGAGGAGCCCCGCGAGAACGGGCGCGCGGCGGGGAGG